TCTGGTCAAGGGCATGTACCTGGGTTGCGGGCACATCCCCAGTGGGAGGTGTGCAGGAGGCAGCTGATCAATGTTTCTCTCCCATCGATGTTTCTAACTCTCTATCTCTCTCCCCTCCTCTCTGTAAAAAATCAATAAAATATATTTTAAAAAAAAAAAGACACGTCCTTAGGACATCTGCCAGACTGTCCCCTGGAAAGCACACAAACTAACTTTTCAAGGCAGCCCCAGATATCTGTTCCACCTCAACGGAATTCCCTTCCCTTCCTTGTTGCTTAGCAACAGCCTCAGCTTAAAAGAGCAGGTCGCTCTTTCTTGCCGGCCCTGTACTGACTCGCAATGCACCCGCCCTTTCCTCTCTTGGAAAGTAAATAAACTTCCTCGCTGCATCCCTTCCTTCAGTTGTGACTTCTTTCACAGCCCGCATCACCCGCCAAACCCCAACAACGGTAATAAAAACATAGAACTATTTAAGAAAGAGCATCATTGTGGTCGGAAGGTTGGATTATGGAACAAGGTTTGTTTTGGGAGAGATCACGGTGGTGGATGGATTAGAACAGCGGTTCTCAACCTGTGGGTCGCAACCCCTTTGGGGGTCGAACGACCCTTTCTCAGGGGTCGCCTAAGACCATCGGAAAACACATATATAATTACATATTGTTTTTGTGATTAATCCCTATGCTCTAATTATGTTCAATTTGTAACAATGAAAATACATCCTGCATGTCAGATATTTACATTACGATTCATAACAGTAGCAACATCACAGTTAGAAGTAGCCACGAAAATAATTTTATGGTTGGGGGGTCACCACAACATGAGGAACTGTATTAAAGGGTCGCGGCGTTAGGAAGGTTGAGAACAACTGACTCTAGACCAGTGGTTCTCAACCTTCTGGCCCTTTAAATACAGTTCCTCATGTTGTGACCCAACCATAAAATCATTTTCGTTGCTACTTCGTAACTGTCATGTTGCTACTGTGATGAATCGTCATGTAAATATCTGATATGCAGGATGGTCTTAGGCGACCCCTGTGAAAGGGTCGTTCGACCGCCAAAGGGGTCGCGACCCACAGGTTGAGAACCGCTGCTCTAGACGGAGGTAATGACCAGGCTTAATGAGTGTGAGAAACGTCAGAAATAAAGGAAGGGGAGAACCACGTAGGAGACAGAGGCACACCTCCCATCTGTGTCTGGTGGGAGACAGAGAGGCAGTAACACAACGAGACTGCAGTAGAGACGCCCAAGGCAGAGGGTGAAAGGAAGGCCACAAGGAGCAAACGTGGGGATTCCAGGATTCAGCTGGAAAAAGGGGGGCCCACTGAGGAGACGCGGAAACAATGCCCAGGACAGGAGCAGAGAAACCAAGAGAAAGCAACGCTTTAACAACGGGACGGCCCGGCTGGCGAGGCTCAGGGGTTGAGCCTTGACCTATGAACCAGGAGGTTATGCTCTGATTCCTGGTCAGGGCACAGGCTGGGGTTGCAGGTTCAATCCCCAGTAGGGGGCGTGCAGGAAGCCGATCCATGATTCTCTCTCATCACTGATGTTTCTATCTCTCTCTCCCTCTCCCTTTTGCTCTGAAATCAATGCAAATATATTAAAAAGAAAAACAAACACAGGACCAGCTACATGATTTGTGGGGTTTCTTGTCCAAAAATCATTCAGAATCTCAAGACAGAGCCACGCACGGGGCCCTGAGGGACCGCAGGCCGCACCCTGGGAAGCCTGTCTTCCTAAAAGCCCCATAGGCGGTGGGTGTGATGCAGCAGGTGGGCATTTTGTTAATTTCAAATTAAATGATTCATCAGTGGTACAGTGGGGCCTTGACTTACAAGTGTCCCGACTAACGAGTTTTTTGAGATACGAGCCGTCTCTCGGCAGATTTTTTGCTTTGAGTTGCGAGCTAAAATTCGGGTTACGAGCCAGCTTCAGATACCCCACCGCTGGTTGGCGCAGCGAACGTCACAGTGAACGCCACAACATCAGCCCAGCATCACGTGTCTCACTCGTTCACTTTAAGATTTGACATAGGAGTAATTTGAGTTACGAGCTCCATCACGGAACGAATTAAACTCGTAAGTCAAGGCCCCGCTGTAATTCAAACAGTTAATCCCTCTTTTTTTGTATCGACAGCATACATGCCTGGTGTTTCCTTCTGTTTCGCTTTGATAACTGTCTCGCCCAACTTTTGGGGTGCATTTCTCTGAAGGGTTCCTGAATTGGCAGCCCAGGAATGCGTAAACCGCTGAGAAAGCATGTAGCTAATTTCGCGTACTCCCAGCAACCCTCACAGCTCCTGGCTGTCTCAAAGGAAGGTAACTGAGTTTAAAAGCACCCAGAGCCTTGGTGAAAGTCTCAGGAAAGGGCTGGCCACGCTCTCTCTGATGGCCCATGAGCAGCTCTGAGTGCAGAAGTTTTTGCCACTTAAGGGTCAAAGGATGGGTTTGTCCAATGACACAACCACATGGGAGCGGGGGAGGTGGTTTGTTGTTTTGTTTTGTTCCTTTTTAAAAAGGAAACTTGCAAATAGGGCTTCAAAATAGTGTCCGCAGTCTGCTGGCCTCAGCAGATCTGGGAGAGTAACACGGATCTGGAAGGCTGCCCCGGCCCGTGACTTCCCTGCTAACCAAGTCCGACCAGCCAACATTCACGCTTTCCGAGGCTGCTGTTCACGTTCTCCTGTAAGTGCTACCATCACTCTAGATGTTTAAATTTTGACCTTGAATAAAACAAGTAAAATCTGCAGTAAACTGCAAAATAATCTTATTTTTAAATATTTTTATTTGTTTAAGTATATTTGTATTGATTTTTAGAGAGAGGAAGGCAGAGGGAGAGAGAGAGAAACATCTATGATGAGAGAGAATCATGGATCAGCTGCCGCCTGCACGGCCCCCACGGGGGATGAAGCCCACAACCCGGGCATGTGCCCCGACTGGGAATTGAACTGGCAACCTCTTGGTTCCTGGGTCGATGCTCAACCACTGAGCCACGCCGGCCGGGCTACAGTATTTTTAGTGGTTTCACACAAAATGAAACAGTAATAAAATAAAGCACATGTTACAAATTACTTTGCCTGATTTCGATATTAGAGATTTAAAAAACACTTCTTTTAAAAATATCTCCAGAGTATCTTCGGAAAACTCAGCAAAGTGAAGTTGCCAGAAAGAAATGGGCACCGTTCTCTCTGGCTCTGGCTCTTCCAAGCTGTTAGAAGTTTCCGGGCCTTCGGTCAAGTTTTAGGAAGTTGGGGAAGCTAAGGCCGCAGATGTCTGTGCCTCGGTTTTTAAAGGGGAAAACAAGGCCCTGGCTGTGTGGCTCCGTGGCTCCGCTGGTTGGAGCATCACCTTTTCCCAGTAACTTTAGAAGACATTCATAATACTTGCATAACATTAAAATAACCAGTCTGATCACTCCAGTCAAATAATTAAATTGTGTACTTACCAATTACATAAAAATGTTTAAATATAAAAATCTCTAAACTTACATCCTTAGTCAGTCAGGCTTTCAGTGGTTCTCAACCTTCCTAATGCTGCGACCCTTTAATACAGTTCCTCATGTTGTGGTGACCCCCAACCATAAAATTATTTTTGTTGCTACTTCATAACTGTAATTTTGCTACTGTTATGAATCGTAATGTAAATATCTGATATGCAGGATGTATTTTCATTGTTACAAATTGAACATAATTAAAGCATAGTGATTAATCACAAAAACAATATGTAATTATATATGTGTTTTCCGATGGTCTTAGGCGACCCCTGTGAAAGGGTTGTTCGACCCCCAAAGGGGTCGCGACCCACAGGTTGAGAACCGCTGTGTTAGAGGGTTCCAGGGCAGGAGAATAGGGAAACTGAGGCAGGAAAGTTTAAAAAAAAAGGCAAGTTGCAGCCAGCTTGTAACTAACAAGCCACTATCTTCCCAGCCAAGGCAGGGAGAGCAAATGGTTAAAAACCGCCCTGAGGAGAGACAGCAGAGAGGGAGGGGGAGGGAAGGGAAAAGGGCCGTTTCACTCCCTCAGCAGAGGAGCCAGCAGCCTGGGCTGGGGCTTGGCAGGACAGAGTTGCAGGTGCTTCTCAGGAATTCTGGGTAAACAGGGATTAATCTGCACCAAGACAGTCAGCAGGGAACTTTGCAGCCTATAGACAGGAGGGTGTATAACGCCCCCCTGCCCCAACCTGCTCTTGGGATGAGCGTAGAGCCGTCTGCGCTTCCTGAGCCAGATGCCTAGGTCTGCTGGCTTCGCTTTTGCTTTTTGTCAATAAAGGTGCAGCTCTAATTGCTTTAATAATTGGCTTTCACACCGCAGCCAAGGTCCCTCGTATAAATTCATTCACATGAGAAGACAAGGATCGAGGTTGGGGACAGCCTCTCCCGCTGTCCGGGGCTGTGCTGTCCGGGACCCCCTCTCTGGTGTCGGTGAGAGGGGCCTATAGCATATCCTCGGGTGAGGGGAGCAGAGGACCAAGTCGCTGCAGCCCTTGTCAAGTGTCACTCAAGTCTCCGGGGAACAGAAACTTCCGTGTGCGCTCTTGACTGTTTTGCAACTGCCACAGCTTTCTGGGCTTTAAGGCCCATGTTTACCCAGCTGCCAGAGGCAGACAACTTAGGGAGATTGGATTCTGATCTAGAATTGAAGGCTCATTCAAAGTCTCATTTTGGGTCACTGAAGGGAAACAAAACACAGCATCATGCATTTTAGCAATTGTCGCACCTGCTCTATTATTATCACCTAGAGGCCCATGCACGGATTCATGCACCTCATGGGGGCCCATGGGGCCAGCAGCGCCTCCACTGACACCCGCTGCCAGCGCCATGTCCCGAGCCGCCCCCTGGTGGTCAGCACACGTCATAGCGAGCGGTCAAACTCCTGGTCTAACAACCAACCGAGGGGACAATTTGCATATTAGGCTTTTATTATACAGGGTACCTACGAACCAGTCCTTGGCAGCGCATAGAGCATTGTCGCAGATCGCATTTTAAAGGTTAGAGACCAGAAACTCCAGTTCCGACACTTTTTTATTGCACGTGTTTATTGATAGGGTCAAAGTCCATGTCCTCTCTTCGCCTGCTTTCATGTCCTGCTGCTGCAAGAGGACACGCTGGCTGCCTCTATCCCAGAAAGAAAGAAATGCTGCTGACTAACGGGCAAAAGAATTGTAGCCTTACAGGCGCGCGGTGTGAGGCTGCCCCAAACCCAGCGCGTCCGAAGCCAGGACAGAACCCGAACAGGCAGGGGCCTCCCGCTGACCTTTCCCGACCTGGAGAGGTTCCCCCGCGGTGAGCGGAGCGGGGCGACGGTCTCAGTCCCCTTCTCCCCACGGTCCCGGGGCTCCGACCCTCTAGACACCTCAGGTCCTCCCCCTTCCTCCAAACCTTCTCCCCGAGGCAGGAGAGAGGCGCCTATTCCCTGTAGGTCAGACGCTCCCCGGTTGGGGAGGTGGGTCCCCGTCGGTCACTGCGCATCAGCCGGGCGCGCGCGTGGGGGGGTGCGTGGTGGATGC